AATTGGATGAAACATAGAATTGATCTAATGAGATCATGTTCTATGCTGCAAACCATAGTTATTTTAGACAAAACTGATTGAGGCCAAACATTAAGGGCCAATTTCTGATTCTCTTATTCATTCAGAATAGTATTTTACTCCACAAATGGCCCAATTGAAACCAAATGAGTCCCACTGAAACCAATAGACTACTCCAGAAGTAAGGTACTGCCCAACTTGAGCAAATGTATCAGAATCTGGCCCGTCATGTTTTAATCAATTTGATTTTAGTGATATTGTATTACTAGTAATTATAAAATGGGAATAACCGAGCAATCTGGCTGACTACTAAGTGCAAGGCTAGTTTGCTATATGACCAGAACGGCAAAGGAGAATAGTGGAAAATAGGATGGGCAAAACACTATAGTCAAATCATGGCCCCACCCTGCATTTTATAGGACTATTCTAAGTCAACCCTGCTCTGGAATATCTAGAGCTCTTTAGTTTATGCCACTTCTCAATTTCTGTTGCTCTTAAGAAACTTTCCCTGACAAAAGCCTAAACTTTCCCCTCCTTAGACTTGGACCATTGTTCATTCTCTTCTGAGACTATAAATTAAATTTCTGCCTTCATGTATATGCTTAGTTTAAAGTTTTTCAGAGATGGCGACTCTCTCTCACCTTTACTTTTCTGGGTTATGTAAAGGTTACTCTTTTAGAGCCTTTTCCTGTACAATTCTGAGTCTCCTTAACTCTCAGTGAAGTCAGCATCTCACAGGAACAGGATCCTTCGTTTCTCTTCATTCTGTTTGAATTCCAATCATTGCCTCCTACTTGTTGCCCAGCTTTGCACTGTCTCTCATTTTGCTATGCAGAGGCGTGCCAGAGGCAACATAACGACAACAAAAATTGTGCAAAAATAGGGGCATCAGAACTTGAATTGTGGTGAGGCGAACTGCATGTAAAGCTTCAATGCATTGCCTCAGGATTGCAGAGAGCAATCTTCTTCCCTAGTTTCATATGTAAGCTCCCTAAGTGTACTGAACAATGTTGGCCGTGTTTTTTATTTTCTCAAACTTTTCTAGTTATCTGTCCCCTGCTTGTAGCTGTGCTTTTTATTTATTCTTCTCTCTAGCTGCACAACTATGCATTTGTTTTATCAGCATTGAATCTCATGCTGTTGCATGCAGCCTACTGTTCTAAGACATTGCAGTTTGGGCTTTTTCTTCTCATTTGCTCCCCCTCTGGTTTTAAAAATTGTCAGCAAATTTGATCCTGGTTGAATTTAAACCTTCTTCTAGATTGCTAATGAAAATAGTGAATAATATAGGTCCACATGGTGATATGTGCAGTATCCTTCTTGATATTGGTCCCCGCGTGCAGGACTCAATATTGTTGATCACACCCTCTTTACTATTAATCATCCAGTGTCACAGGCACACTCATTGGCAGACAGACATAATAGTTGTTGGAAGAATTAACTTGTGTTACATGTTAAACTAGTGATGGGGCAGCTTGCAGTTTCATTAGGTGCCTGAATGTCAAATAGTGGCTATTCTAGAAAAAAAATTAATAGGAATTTTATTAAGTGATCAAATTGTGCAGAGTTTTAAGACCAAGGTTTTCTAAAGTGACAAATGATTTTTGGGTGCCTTAGTGTCTGGGTGGCCAACTGAGATAACTTGGAATCGTCTGTAAATAAATCAAAATCTGCTCCCATTGAAATTAAGGACTAAACTCTACTGGACTTCAGCAGGACCAGGATGGCTCCCTTAGTGGTTGATGATACAGGTCTAAATTCCACGTTTCACTATGCTTTTAAAAAGCTTCACACAAAACACAACTCTGTGTTTTCAGCATATACTTTACTGAGTGGGGAGTCACCCTCTTCAGCAGACATATAGCACATGTGCAGTCGTGGGGAGGAGAGGAAAGGTTCCCATCACACAGTTCCTCCCGTGTAGTGGGTGAATTCTCCCCTCCCCAATGTGGAAAATGTAGGAGGTTTGGCCTCAACTCCCATAGATCTGCACCAGCTTTGTATGCTGCTCCCTACTGTGGCCCCACTTCGTGCTACAGAACAGCACTTTGAGAGACTGTGGCTAGGCCCTGCTCTGGACTCCCCCTAGAACAGCCTGTTGAGAGAGGTTTCATGGGCTGGACGGGGGATGGGTGACTCATATTGAATTAACATTTCTGTGGATTCCCTACTTCTTCCTTGTTCTCCACATGCCACCCACAGATCCCTGGAGCAACAGAGGGCGCTTCCACATGGGTGTGTGGGACAATATTGCTGAGGAGACTGACCATCCTCTTTTGTGCGGAGGCCCTCTGTGCACAGCTCTTGTGGGAACAACGGCTCCAAAGTAATTTTCATAACCATTTATAGTGAGTGTCATTCACAGGGAATTAGAATCTGGATAATTACTAAAGTCTATGGTAGGAGTACCATATTTCAACAATCAAAAAAGAGGACACGGGGTGCCGCCCTAGCCCCGCCCCAGCCCCCTCAGAATCCCCCTACCCCCTACCTGTCCCCTGACTGCCCTCTCCTGAGACCCCCCCACCCTAACTGCCCCCAGGACCCCACCCCCTATCTAAGTCTCCCTGCTCCCTGTCCCTTGCCTGCCCCAACCACTCTCTACACCCCCTTCTCCTGACAGCCCCCCCAGAACTCCCGACCAATCTAACCCCCCCGTTCCCTGTCCCTTGCCTGCCCCCCCCCACCAGGCCGAGGGAGAGCTGCGAGCTCCATGTGTAGCCAAACACTGTGGCGCTGCTCTGCGGGGGAGGAGGAAGTGGGGGGGGGGAGGGACTCTGGCTGCTAGAGGCCCCAGTGGCTGCGAGCGGCTTTCAATCAGGCCCAGCTGTCCAATCAGCCGCACCGCACTCTTCATGAGGGGAAGGGGGAAATGCCGGACATTTCTACTTTATTAGAAATCCCCCCCGGACGGCCATTTAAAGCTGAAAAAGCCGGACATGTCCGGGGAAACCCGGACGGATGGTAACCCTAGTCTATGGGCCAGATCCCCAACTGGTGTATATTGGGTATAGCTCCACTGACTTCAGTGGATCTATGTTAATTAACATTAGCTGAGGTTCTAGCCTTATATAATTGCTTTACAAAATTACAGCAGAAAATTGTTTTTGTGTTGGATTGCTCATTTTAGGCCCAATCATGCTGCCTGTACTCAGACAAAACTCTCTATGGGACTCAGTTGGAATTTGCCCTGAGTAAGGAGTGCAGGATTGACCTTCACTCTGCAGCATATAGACATAAATATTAATATTTGTAGATTAGCATTTGCAAATTATATTTGAAAAAAATCAGCTTCCCTGCGCTCTTGGGAATGACACTGGTATCAGTGATCTACAGAGATATCTTTGGCAGTATTGAACAGTCTCTCTAGTGAGGCTCTGTTTAGTAGAATTCCCAAGTTTGGAAAATGAATAGTGTTGGGTGTTCAATATAATCGATAGACCACAGACACCATAGCCACGAGAGCCCCAGATCCACTGCAATTGTTGGAAAAGTGTTGTACGATGCTACAAACTCATATTATCCAGGCATGGTCGCCTGCTGGCTGATTCAGTAATTATTTTTCCTCCATTTTAACTCCCTCCTACAGATATTGCCAACTCTTAATATGTTTGTTCAACAATTCATGTTGTGCCGACTTTGGCATCACAATGGTTGGATATACAAGTTATTTAGTGTGGATCCATCTATCATTCCACTGAATACGTTCTGGTTCTAAAGTTGTCTTAACATTCCCTTAATGAACATGGCAGATCTGTTCTCTCTTTTGATGATGATTAGAAAATTGAGGGAAATCTTCATTTGAACCACTGGATTCTTGTAAGCTTAAGTATTGTATCTGGAATATTGTCGGTTCCCCCCACCCCCTCTTTTCAATCATTGGGTCTTGTTTAAAGCTAATATGGACTGACCTAGACTACACAAAAATTTAAATATAAGGTAATAATGCACAGACATTCTTTTAGCAAGTTCCTTCCTCAATTGGTCAAGTGTACCACTTGTCCCTTAATGTCAGTTGTTCTGACCTTCAGCATATTAGTCTGATAAGGACAACTTTACTTTGGCTCTTTAGTCTCCAGGAGTGTGCATCTATACATAATACCTACCTACATAACATTTTAAAAGGGTCTGGGAAAATCTTGTACTACTATCTCTGGGTTCTCAATAACCCACATACTGCCTCTTGGGTATTGCTTTCCTGTTTCGATTAGGTTAGTGCTTAAAGCAAAATAAGAAAAAAAGGTATGAACTTGTCCCTCAAGCATCTACAACACAGATTTAATATCTGAGATTCAAGCAACGTCTTTGCTAGTTTTGTACCTCTTCCCTGCCCATATCAAGCAATTACTGCACAATTTCCCATACTTAGGCTCTGATCCAGCAAAGCACTTAAGCATGAGTGTAACTGCTTTGCTGAATCAGGGCCTTCAGAAAAGTTTCCTTACTGGTAAGGACATAATTGTCCCAATATACTTTCTGGAGGTTGCAAGTTACTTAATCTCATTTACAAACTGGATATCTTGAAAGAAAATGAGTTAAATCAAAGGTTCAGAGTCTTATAAAGTTATATACTTATCAAAGAAACCGATCATTAAATGAATTTTCTGGGGTCTGCTCTTGCATTCTTTAACTTCTCGTTGACATCCATGGGGATTTTCCCTAAATAATACTTCACTTCCCTAATGCAAAGTGAGTATAATATATTATTTCTAGTCTAAATACCTGATCCAAAGCTCATTTCAGTCAGTCTGTTCATCGACTTCAGTGGGTTTTGGATCAGCCCTCAAGAGATTAATACATACGTATGATCCACATAAACTACTCCCACTGATTTCAGTGCAAAGCTCCGATTGACTTCAGTGAGGGCAGGAACAGGATCTTTTATATCAGTGTTTGGGGAAAAGTACATTTTAAAACGTATCTTCCTAGATCCTTGAGATGAAATCTTGACTCATAATCTTATAAATAACTCTTTTAAATAGGATATGACAAAAAAGCAAATGGCTTTGGAAAAAATCAGTCTTCAGAAATGTCTGCTATATTTTGAGAATATTCATGGACGACCTGTAAGTATGCCATGGAAAGATAGGTAAATTTCAAATTATATTGCATAGAATTTCTTTAACAAATACTTTAAAATATAATACATTAAATATATTTAGATCACTCTTATACATTCAACATTATTGTAGTTGGTTCAAAGCAGTCTTGAGAGGTAAATGTCCATTGCTTGAAAATGCTAAACTGTGACCAAGTTTTTTTTTAGAAATAAAATAACAAAGCCAGTGTTTGGTGACATTATATTGGTCTTCAATAGCAAAATATTGCAAAGATAATGGTAAGAATGCTCAGGACCCTGTTCTGATCTTCCACAATTTGCACCTTGATTTAGGTATGTTGTGGTTGAAGTAGTGTGCGATCTGACATGTAATTTGGTTTTGAAATGTATACATTATTAGAGCATTTAACAGCATAGGAGAAAAGTTTTACAAGTCAGGCCACAATACAGAATGTGACAATGTTATGAATTATCACCTACATTTTCCTTTATTTATTGAAGATGTTAAGCCTATCCCTATGCTGAGAAACCTGCCAAAATTGGCCAAGATACAGCAAAGCACTGAAGCATGTGGTTAACTTTAAAGTTCCATGGAACATGAAGTCAGTGAAATTACTTGCATGCTTAAAGTTAAGCACATGCCTAAACACTTTGTTTAACCAAGGCTAATGGTGCAGGAATCTTAACAGGATGTGGGATTGATGTCTCTGATATAACTAACATTGATTAAATGTTAAGTTTCATGATTTGGCATTTCTGATGTAACTACCTTACAACAGTAATCGTGAGAATGGCAAATGTATGTGTGTTGGAGATAAATATGCCTAAAATGATGGGCAGTTGACATTTTGTGAGGATATATTATCACATCTTTTCAGTTTCTGTCCAGATATCAGGTATTACCATCTAAAGATACTTCCTAGATACGCAGTGGTCTTCATTAGGAAGTTATTATTGACCTAGTTACCACAGAAAGGAATCTGAAATGTGGCACTCATTATCCTATTCTGAGACGAGCAGTAGTCTCAGAACTACATCGTCATAGTTCCTGTGGTTTAATAATGCTTGGCAAAAGTTGCCTTTTTAATAGTAGCTACCATATAATGAGTTTTTAGGATAACTACTAAAATATATACCTTAAGATTGTGCTGATGAGATTTTTGCTAGACAGTTTTTTCTATATTTAGCAATTGTATATTGCTTTTAAAATAATCATACTGTACTTAAGAGGCTAAAAACCTCATACTTCAGCACATAATCCAACCACTAACTGTCTAGGATTGAAAGAAACTTCCTCTAAAAGGGGTTATTATATAATTGCCCATTATGGAGTTTCTTGTACCTCCTTGAAGCATCAGGTAACAGTTATTGACTGAGGCAGAGTACCAGATTAGATGGGCTGCTTATTTTAACTGGTATGGCAATTACATGTTCCTGCTTCTTACCTGGTATTATATATATATAAAAATATTGAAAATTATTGGGCCAGATTCTCAGCTGAAGTAAATTGGTGTTGTTCTGACGACTTTATTGGAAGCATGTTGTTCAGTGGAAGATCTGCCTGTTAGTCAACTAATGAATATTGTTGGGGAAAATGGACTTACATACCTTAGTAGGCAAATTTCATGCTCCAGCACTGATCATAAATGCTGCTGCTACCATCAGTCCTTGAGCATGAAGAGCTGTCCTAATAAGGTGAGAATTGAGCAATCCCAGTGCTGCACTTCAGAACCAGTAATTAGAAGTATATGTAACATTTTCTAGGGTGCCCTCTCATCATGTTTGATTTGACAGTCAGCAGCTTGTGCAAGTTGAGCTATTTTTTTCAAATATTTCAAGTTCACCTAATTTAAGCAGTTCTTTGTTGCTGTCAGAAGGAAGGTCCCACAATCTCCCTTTTAATGTGGGAGCAAGATCAAGAACAGCCTACCAAAGTGAGACTTGAAGAAGTAGCAATAACTGATTTGTTGAAATATCAAATGGCTCTCTAAGGGCTCTGCTGTCTGTCAGAGACACAGCCCCACTGTTGGAGGAAGCACAAAGCTACATGTTCCGAGGGGGGTCTCTACTTCAGGGCACAGTGGGAGTGCACTGATGCTGCCCCTCTTTAGGGGGTGCCATATATGCCCGTTTGCCCCGCCTTGTCTCCACCCTCTTTAGTATGTCTATTGCCCCATGAAGTGTACCTGAATGCTGCACAGAAGCATAAGTAGAGGATATTTCTTGTCCTTTCCCTTCCTCCCTGTGTGTTTGTGGAGCAGATGGCTCTAAGATTTCTGGAACATCTCTAGGTTTTCACGTACATAGTCCAGAGCCCAGCTAGGCAAAGAACCCAGGGAAACATGGATTCTTTATGCTAGAAAGACCAAAAGTGAGAGAGTGTAGAAACCTGATACATGAAGATTGTGGTAGCTACAACCAGTGAGGAATGGACGTACAAAGATGAAAGTGTCTCCTTCAGGAAACAAGCACACTGTTTTTTCTTGGTATAGAAATTTATAGAACAATCATAGAAAAATGTTACTTGGTAAAAAATGGTGGAGCTTTTTGATGGAAAACCAAAATTTTCAGTAACATTTAAGTTTGGTTTTCAAAAAATGATTTTTTTAAAGAAAATATTTTTCAAAACCCAACTTTTTTTCAGTTTTTGTCATAAGAAGAAAAATACATTATGGGGAATTTTGAAAAAAGGGAAATAAAAAAAAAATCCCACACAAAATAATTTGCTTTTTTCAAACAGATCCAGTTATGGGTAATAACACCATTTCCACAAAAGACAAAAATAAAACCACAGCTGAATCATTACTGGTGAAAACTGATGGATATAAAACTGAAGCATTTTGTGCAAAAGACACAGAAAGGAATCAAAGGAAGTGATTGTATTTATGGCCCTACTCATAACCAAGGAGAAGGAAACCAAGTCCTGTTGTACAGAGTAAATGACATGTTGGCTCACAGAAAGGGATATCACTAATGGTTGCATTACAGTTGTGGGATTTTGGATTAAAGAAAGCTGATGATGTCCATTCTGTGCCCCAAATAGGGTTATTCAGTAGCCACAGACTGACCAAAATTTTCTGGTGCATGATCTGCAAATCCACACATCTGATAGATTCTGCCTGTCATGTGCCGTATTTGCACTGAGAACAATGGTGCTTTGAGACACGCTTTCTGGAAGCAATTCTATAAAGTGGCCTTAGATCCAACTCTTTCCCAAACAGCTATGCCCCTTCTTGGCTGTTTCAATTGCCTAGGATATTCTTACTGTATATCCCTAACACTGAACTCCCGGCAGCGAGTGGCAATGAATTCTCAGTGGTAGATCCTCAGCTCTAGAAAATTTGACCTTTGTTGGTCTGCCCAAACGACAGTTTGGCAACCTTTAAAACTGTGTTTTCAGGTTAACAATCCCTTATTTTCAGTCAAAAAGTTTTGTGACCTACACCCCTATTTACATTTACTATAAGAGTAAAAAATGTTTCAGTTATAACAATGAGACATTTATATAATTTGTATGTTTTGAGAGGTTGACCGGAATGCTTGACCTTGAAGGATAAGTGTATAGGGGAGCGAGGTTTTCTTTGCTGTAGATTGGAATAAATTTCTGATATCTCACAACCCTCCCCACTGATTGCTTTAGGACATAATACGAACAGGTAACCCGTTAGAGGGGTTTGTTTTTGTCTTGGTTTGGATTGGGTTTTTTAGGAGATGGAATGGAAGGGTGGTTAATTTCGGTGGCAAGCATGTAAAATGGTTTGGTTTTGTGGCTGGATGTGCTTGGAGGTTTTGTATACACATCTACTTACTGTTGGATAGGCAGGAAAATATTGTCATATACAGTAATAAATACAGCCTCCTGGGCAACAGACTCCTTGAACGACAATCCTTTTTAGTAGGATAATGTATGACAATGAGATGGAAAAGTCTTAAGCAAAGCTGGGCATTCTTTGCCTTTCAGAGAGACCTTAACAGTACCTACATTTAGCACAGCACATTGTTCTGAAAGAGGTGAGACAGAAACTTGACTCTAGCATCAGACGTGGTGCTCTTTAGTGGAGGCAGATTAGATCTCTCTGGCCTTTTATCTGTGAAAGGAAGCCCCACAAAATTATAAGCATGAATTGTGCTGGCCTCTTACCATCACACGGCCTAATTATCCTTCCATTTATACCAGTGTATATCAGGAGTAACTGCACTGAAGTCAATAGTGTAGAGGAGAATCAGGCCTTGACAGTTTAGCCTTGGGGCTAGAATATGATCTCAGTTGTACCAGTGTGAATTTGAAGTTATGCCATTCACTTTAATGGAGATATTCTGATTTACGCTGTAATGGCTGGGAGCAGAATGTAGTCTATGGACCTTTCAGTTTTAAAATCTTGAAAGTATTCTTACATTTGAGCTTATCTACAATATAATAGACTATGTAACCCTAAAATTGTGACTAAAAGAATAAAACTGACTATTGTCAAAATTGTTTTCTGTTTTTTGTTATTGGAATTATTAATATTTGAAATTATTAATATGGGAAACCACCAAACACCAGTTTAAGCATAAATTCCTTTATTAAGTCCTGAGACCAAATGGTATTTTATACAGTTGCTCTAAACATGTCTAAAAAGGCTACATAATAAGCAATTTACTACATCCAAACAGTAACAAAACATTTATGAGCATTTGAGCAGGATAGTTACAAGCAGGCTAAGCCCAGGGGTTCTTAGGCCCATATTGGTTGGCTCCAGCATGGTCAGGCAGGCATTAGCAATGACTCCTTTGAGAGTTTACTTTTTATACCCTTTAACAATCAAGGGATGTTATTGCCAATTACTGACTTCAGCTAAAAGCCAACTGGAGACAGTTCATCCTTATTTCCAGTCTTAATCCAGAGATTTACAACTTCCTTTCTTCCCCTCCTTCTTGCTGACGTATAGTTTTCCCCTTCCACCTGGGTCCACATAGACTTTAACACTAGTGTGTGGGTTGGGGAAGGGGCATGTTGGCTCATTTTAAGACAGATTCTCTGTATTTGATTTAAAGCCATTTGCAGTCACCACTGTGGTTAGAGGCCTTCTTTTTAGAAACTGACCAATTATCTCATTAGTTATTCTTTGAACCAGACATCCTCCCTGCTTTATTCCTTCTGGCTTTACCACTTTTTATTTTCAAATCTTTCCTTCTATTTGCTAGTCAGGGCCTTTCTTTACAACACATATATAGACTCAAAGGCTTTAAGGCCAGAAGGGACCTTTGTGATCATCTAGTTTAGTCATACATTTCCTTAGCTTAAGTTTGGTTAACATTAATTCTTTAATTTTATACTTATCCTACAGTTGTATGTAGTAAAGCTGCACTCCTCTTATGTGAAATGATCTTGAAAATAACACACTTGATTGTCATCAGGGTCTCAGCCCAGCTGCTATTCTTGATGGTGTGATAACTGGCCAAATTTTTTCAGGTGCTGTTATTAGTAGATCTCTACCTGCTTCTGTCCCCCCAAATCAGGCTGGAGAGGGAAGGGGAGAAAAAGGGGTTAGAAACTACTAACTACATCAGAACTGACTACTAATATGTGTGCCCACATGTTCTGAGGACACAAAACTGAGGGCCCAAAGTATTTAATTTAAATTGGCCTTTCTAACATAAGAACTGGTGGAGATCATTGTGTTAGAAAGTGCCATCTCTGACAAAAGCAGCACCGAAGACCCTTTGAGAAATGGTACAATGGGGTGCAGAAAAGATGTTTAGATTACGCTAACCATAGACATGAGATAACTGTTGCCCTACATTCAGTTCAGCTAATTTAATATGTGTAGTGCTGCCTACTGGTATTGTCTCCCACCTAAAATCTGCTTTACTAATATTTTCAAATACAGAAGAATTGTTTGCCTGCCATGCCAACCTAACCAATTATGAAGTCAGGTGTTTATTTCCAGCAAGAAAATAACATTGTGCTGACATTAAGATATTAAATTGTCTAATAAAATACATGATTTATTTTTTACAAGCTAGTCATAACTTTAATTATATTAGAAGTTGGAGAACCAAGGGTGAACTTGTAGAGGCTCTGGCACAAGGCTGCAGTGTTTGGGTTGCTAACCATGCAGGAAAATGTGTTAATACCACCATAAAATCTGACTTCATTGACATTTTCACCAATTTAATCAATAATAATAACATTTCTAGTACTATAGGGTTGTGTTATATACTCTTTTTAAAAATCAGGAAAATATCTGTAAAGAGACCTTGCCAAATATAAGGACCAGAATATTTGGCAAGGTCTCTTTACAGATATTTTCCTTTGCTGAGCTGCCCCGGCTGTCCTTTCTGGGTGTTGAGCTCTTTTGAAGATCTGGCCCGTTATTTCTACAAGTATACTTATAAAAGCAGCTATCATATCCCCTATGTAGTAATCATATGGATGTGAGGGGGTGGAATGCAGCTCTCCTTTCAGTTATTTGGTTACACCATCCGTAATTATACCCAGGTGTTTTGTATTCACTCACTTTTTAAAGTAAAAAAATACCATTACGAAGAAGTTTGGCCAGTGTATTAGTCAACATGAGGATATTTACAATAGTTGTTTCAAGTAAATAATGTTACTCTTCTATTTATGGTGGTGGGTGTGTGAAATCCCCTCTCCTACAGGTTGAGGCTTAACTGGGACTTAATTAGCATGTAGATCGTGTGCATAGGGGTAAACTTCAACCAGTAACCCCTTTACTAAGTACAGCAAATGCTGCTTAAATTTATTTAGTCAAAAGGTATGATTTTAAAGATTTGTAATGGCAACCGCTATATCAACTCACTTTGCATGTTCCATGCTGATTTTTTGCAGGATGTGCATGTAACTGCATGAGAATTGATAAACTGCAGAACACAGATTGAGGAATATTTCCGTGTAATGCTAGAACCAGAACTTTGAAGACAGCACAATAATAGAACATTCCTTAGTAAACATTATAGCATCATATTAGAAAATCCTGCATGCTGATTGGCTAACAAAACATTCTAAGCAGTGTTATCCCACCATACTACATTGCTGAACATATTACACTTCATAACAGTAATAGGCAAATTGTCAAAGAGAGCAGGCCCAAGATGCTTACACAATTGTGTGATTGCATCTATATGTACAGTTAGCTCGATTGTAAGGGCAAATCAGCCTTAGTAGCTATGGTGTGCGCAGGAATGCAGCCATAGTAGCTATTGTGCCATGAATGCATGTTAGGGGCAACTGCCTAGGCATATATAGATATAGAACTGTACACAAATGTAGAATGTCCCTTTCGGAAAACTTGGCTCATAGTGACCAGCGCAGCACATGCATTTGTATGTGTCAAACAGTTGTATCAAATGTAAGGAATGTATTTCTGAGTACCTACCTTTGAAGGCTAACTAACTGCTTAAAAATGGAAAACACTAATTAAAAACATATTCAGGGAAAAAATACAGAAACTCCGTTTGTTCCAAATAAGATTTTACCTTTATATTTTTAGCAAATACTAAAGATCAGCCATAAACAAAATGTCACTGTTCTACAAACTTCACTGTGGAGGCAGGAGTGCAGTGGAAGACTACACTTTAAAAAAAAAAAAGCTGCCCAGTTGCTAATTATTATTAAAAGAGCAGGCTTAGGAATGTTACTGGGGTTGCCAGTGAGCATGCTGGGAAAGTCTGCTGATATCTTAATAAGAGAGAGGGCTGGCTCTTCCCTGCTTATCTGAAAAGTCAGCCAGAGGAGAAGCTAAAAGAGGCTGTAGCCTTAAAAATATTTTTCTCCATTTTGGAGGTCAAGGGCAAGAAGGCCTGTCTACTGCAATGAAATTGAATGTGGTGATTGGGAGTAAAAACAGCACCCACCTTCCCCTACAGAGGGCAACTATATAGGGTAGAAGGAGCACTCACAGACTACAGTGAAGAATACTTTAAAGATACCCCATAACTGGATTAGATTAGACAAGCTGATGGCATTCAGCAGCATTCCTCTGCTCTCTCTTCCTTACTCCATATATCCCGATAAATTTCCATTTCTGGGCTATTGCCCATGCCTGCAGTCTATCCATATCCTTCCACCTCTGCCCCCACATACTCACCTGCAGTTGTGGAGATGATTTCTACACAGTAGAGCAGCAGCAACTCCCATGAGTGCTTAATTGGTCAGTGTGGGGATTGACAGGGATTTGAGAATAAGGTGTTGTGGAGCACAGGGAGGTGATGAACTCATTTGCAGGTAATTCCTTTCTGATAATGTTGCCCTAGGACAGGTATGATGAAATCATAGAACCACAGAGTTAGAAGGGTCTAACCACAGAGTCATCTAGTCTAACCCTCTGCCAAGATGCAGGTATCCTACACAGTTAAATAGATTAGGTATGTTTTTACCTCTTCGGGCTACTGTGACTGGCCAACTCTTTCTTTTAATAGAGTAGGATGGCCTGTTGCACAGCCAGAATCCATAGCCTCTACATGATTTATGCAATTTGATAGGCTGTAAGTATTTTTGGTTGGATTGGGTTCATAGTACACAAACTAAAAAACAAAAAGCATTATCCCTAAATTAGGCACATCTGATGCTCAGGGGTTAACTAGAGAGAGAACAGAGAAAACTAACTCCTTTAACAATATCGGCATCTTCAGAAGGGGAAATGTAACCAGTTCACCCTTTTCCCAAAATTAATGCGGCAAGGAGGCAAAGATTCCACCTTGTATATTTTTCATTAGAATATAGGTTTACACTTTTGTTTTCAAATTGTAAACTGTAATGTTTTATGAATTATGCTACCATTACCTTAAATATTCATAAATATTACCTAAAGCAATATTACATGTAAGGCCAAATTCTCCTTAGCTACACTGAGAGCTGAATATGGCCCATAATGCTTGTTTTTGAGAAGAATATACTTTCTTATGGTTTCTTTTTAGGTAACTAAACAAGAGAGGAGTATTATGAAGCCTCTTTATGACAGATACAGAATTATCAAGCAACTTCTCTCAACACCATCTTTGATTACAACAATTGTAAGTTGGAAAGAATTAGTATTTATCATAAAGAAGCTATACAAGATTCTGAATTGTGCTTTGTATACCAGTTTAGCAACATTCTAATCACTCTTACACATGAAGGGCTTATAGAATACTTATTGATCAAATCATCCAGTTGATATTTCAAGAGGAGTAAACATCCTACATGATTCAATCCCAAAGCATGCCAGAGGTCATGATGTAAAACATCAATTTCTGAATCAATCAGTTTACATGGGTGGGGAGGGGATCAGATGAGGGAGTTCAGTTTTTAACCTTCACCATTACAAACAAATCTACACCACAAAATGAAAGCAATTCTATCTATTATACTGTTAATATATCCTCCTTGATCTTTGTTTGTTGAAAATACTTTCATTACTACTTAGCACATTAAGATCTTAGCATAGCATTTTGATCAAAGCTATGCCTGTGTGAAAGAAAGAAATGACAAGGTTTTCTGTATGTGATTCGGATTGTTAAAAATAACAATGTTTTAAAAAAAATATAAAATACATGTCTAAAATTGATGAGGTAGAACTGGTGTCTTTACTCACACTGGATAGTGCTTTACTTTGTGAATTCCCCATTTCAGTAACACTCCTTGCAGAATGAGGTACCACTGAATGTGAGCTGCAGTAGCCGATTCTTACCCTATGTAAATTTCTTGTCTCATCAAAGAAAATACTGCAGTAACTCCTCGCTTAACACTGTAGTTATGTTCCTGAAAAATGCTACTTTAAGCAAAATGATGTTAAGTGAATCCAATTTCCCTGTGTACAAGGGTTTGCTGGGGCTTGACCCCCTCTGGGGCAGCGGGGAGCCACACCGGCTCCCTACACACAGTTAAGGTTCGGGGGAATTAGTCTGGACACGGGGTCTTCCTCGGCAGCCCTTGTGGTACTGGAACAATCACCGTAAGCCCAGACTCTGGGTCAGGGTGGGGCAACACGGAGTCTGGTGCTCAGGCCCTCAGGCAGGGCTGAGTAACCACAGTACAATAGAAATAGGCCCAGGCCCTGGGGCGGGGCGGGGCAGGGCACCAATAAGTCAGGGGCTCAGGCCCTTAAGCAGGGCTGGGCAACAACAGTGCAATTAGTAGCAAGCCCAGACCCTAGGTCAGGGCGGGGCAACAATGAGTCAGGGGCTCAGGCCCTCAGGCAGGGCTGAGCAGTAGCAGTAGGCCCAAGCATCCACAGGCCTGGGAGAGGGGGGAGACTGCCACCCACGAGTTGGGTGGCAGAGGGCGACGCAGGCCTTCCCACTCCACTGCGTCCCAGCCCGGGCCCCTAGCAGCGGCAGAAGACCCGCTGCTGAGTCAGTGGGGATCCTGGCTGCAACACACTGACATGGGCTCTGGCAGTGCTGCAGCCAGACTAGGGTCGGCTGCCCCCGGGCTACTTCCAGATTCCCCCTCGAGTAGTATCTGGGTCAGGGTGTTGTCTTCTGGGGGGTCCTGCACCATGAGGTCCTCTGGGTATCGGGCGCAGGGCATGCCCGAAAACTCCTCCAGGTAGCGGGCGCAGGGCAGGTCCGGCCAGTCCTAGTGGCCTCTTGAGCCACGGGATTTTCCCAGTTGTGAGCTAGGCTGGAGTCATCTGGCCTCTTCGGTGGCTGGGCCTTACTGAGAGGTGAGGGTGAGCCTTTATACTTCCGGGTCGCCGCCTGAACCTCTGAGGGATGGACTCAGAGCTCCCTAGCTCCGCCCACTCCGGCCTCCAGATGGGCTCGTCCCCCTCCCGGGCGGCGCGGAGCCACACTGCCTCACTACACCTCATAAGAATTAATGTAACTGGGGGGAGGAGGGAGGTTAGACTCCAGGGATTTTTTTTTTTTGCCAGACAAAAGACTACACACACACACACACACACACACACACACACACTAAGTTTTAAACAAACAATTTAATACTGT